TATGGACCTAGCAGTTGTTGCAATTAGTTAGTGATCATTTCACCTCTAGTGTTTCCTGACCACTCACAGCGAGTGTGTAATCTTCTTGCTCCTCTGGAAGAGACACGAGTTTCTATAGAAAGAACTGAATTTGTAAGGCTATTATCACCGATAAGCTTTCAAAGTCAGGGAGTAGAGGGATGAAAATCAGTATTTTCTTTTAAAATTTCTAGGTTTCAAGTCTTATAAAATTTCTCTAACTTGAACTCAAGATCACAAATGACTGAAAACTTGAAAGCTAAAAAATGCATCAGAGTCTGGAAAAACAATAACCCTAGGCCCCTCCATGCTGCTGGCTGGCGGGGAGGTTCAGACTCCAGGATTCTGTGGAATTAGCCCCTCCTCAAAGGTGTACAAAGGCATGTTGTACATGTGGGTATCAGAAAAGCGGAAAAGGATGGTGATATTAGCAACGAGAGGGGGGGGAAAGTACAAAACATCCATACAATTCTTTTAAATATTTTATAAATTTTGTATGAGGATTCATATAAATTTCAGACCCAGCTGGACTGGAAAAAGAAAAAGCCCATTTTAAGGCTTTTCAGAGGCTCTCTGAACAATAGCTGAGTCACTGAACTGGAAACATACACAGATTTATTTTATCTATTAGGTTATGGGCGGCCTGGCATTGCCTCTCCTCCTCTTTGTAAACAGGTTACTTTGTTTCTTCCTCATAGTATTCACCTTCTGTGAAAATCACAGCGGATAAACGCAGAGCTCCAGAGTGATAGCTGCTCATCACCCACCAGTCTGCTTTGGTGTCTAATAGGACAGTCACTTTGAGTCTAGCTGAAAGTTCTTTGCAAAAAAATCAAGTGAAGCTATTGAGAACTGAAGAATCAGAATGGAACCCAGCTGTGCAATGATGGTTGAGCACTAGACTACATTAGAAAATCTGTTCTTTATAGCCCTGGCCGTGTGGGTCAGTTGGTTGGAGCATCGTCCCCTACACCAAAAGGTGGAAGGTTCAATTCCTGCTCAGGGCACATACCTAGGTTGTGGGTTCAATCCCTGTTTGGGGGCATGAATGGGAGGCAACTGATTGATGTTTCTCTCTCTCTCTCTCTCTCTCTCTCTCTCTCTCTCTCTCTCTCTCTCTCTCGTCTTTCCCTTTCTCTCGCTCTAAAAATCAATTAAAAAACATATCCTCAGGTGAGGATTAAAAAAAGAAAATCTGTTATCATTCACACCTCCTTAACAAATTAAAGAAGAAAAAACATTTTATTATATAAAAACTGTAAGATCATAGCAGATATCCAAGACCTACAGCATAAATCTTACAAATACATACAATCTACAGTAGATGTAGAAAAACTCAATATCCATCCTTTTAAAAAAGTAAAACCCTTCTTAGCCAAACACTTGCATAACTCAATAAAAGGTATATTGCAAATGCGCCAACAGACATCCTTAATACAAAACGTTAAAAGCGCTCCCTTTAATTAAGGAGCAAGGCCAGCATCCTTCCACTGTCACCTTTCCCATCAACACTGTACAACAGCAAGAGGCCTGCCCAGGGCCACACACTTCACTGTCAGCCACGACGAAAGGCTCCGGACAGCCGTCATCACAGTTTGTGCCACAAGTGTCCCTCTTTGCTGTGGGTATGAGTCCCTCTGCCTTATCATTTGAACTGTGGTTGCTGGTGGACTATAAAGGCTGGTGATATGCCCAGGAGGACTGGGTTTTACTGTCCGATGGTAACAGAAAAGGGCAGCAAGATTAGTACAAGTTACAGCTTCACTGTAACACCAGAGCAGGTCCCTGTACACAGGACGGCAGAGAAGCACATACCCAGGGTCTTGATACACACAAAGGAAACTTCATGTGACACCAGATCTCACATCTTTTATCTTATACTCTTCACTCAAAATACTAGCTAAAACCTTTTCCCTCCTTTTCTCTTAAATTTGATCATTTTAATCAGCAATCAATAGATAAAAATATGGAATATGAGTAATATAATTAACAACTTGATTTAAAACAAGTTGTACCTTGCACAGAGAATGCAAATGCTTTTCCTTTTTCTCCAAATTAGATTTACTTATCCCCAAAATTCTAGATTTTATTGTCTTCCCTAAGCCAAAGCTATAATAAAGGGCAAATTCATACCTCTAAATGCTTTCATTATCAACCAAGTAAGCCTTCAATGAAACTGCTTCCATGCTTCAATAAAATGCTGTGAATTTAGGACATAGACAAGGATAAAGCTCCCAACACTATCCACTACTTAGCTCATTACACAGCCCAATGACAAAATCAGGTTTTTCCTTAAAAATAGTCACAACCCTAAAGTAGGTGAGAAGATATTTTCAACTGCCTTCACTGAGGAACACCTAAATCACAGACCCAGAGCTCAGAGAAAATGGGACACAGGAAGCTACCTGCCCATAACTGTCCAGCACTCCTCTGTGAGTGGGCAGAATCCTACCTAATAAAAAGTAATATGCAAATTGACTATACCTCCACTACACCCACAAGCCATGCCCACAAGTCACGCCCACAAGCCAATCAGGAGCGAATATGCAAATAAACCCAACCAAGACGGATGTGGCCACAGAGAGCAGGAGGGAGGCTTGGGTTTCCCCAGCAATGAAGGAAGCCAAGCTTTCTGCCTGCCCTTGCCGGCCTAGACCTCCACTCAAGGCTACAAAGTTTCAATGATAGAAGATAAATAAATCCCAACAAAAAAGGCGACAGCCACAGAGTTGGAGAGAGCAGGAGGCTAGGGTTTCCCTGGGTGATGGAGGAAGCCAAGCTTCTGTAGCCCTGGGGGGCCTAGGCCTCCACTCCAGGCTACAAAGTTTCAATTGTACAAGATAAAAAAATCCCAGATACCAGGGCCTCCACTTGGGTTGCTGAGGGGCGTGGAGGCCTGCAAACCAACACAGGCTCCTCGCCCAGGCCACCCAATGCCCTAAGGAAACCCCCACCCTGATCCAGGACACCCTTCAGGGCAAATCAGCTGGCCCCCACCCATGTACCAGCCTCTATCCTATCTAATAAAAGAGTAATGCAGATTGACCATAATTCCCACACACAAGATGGCTGCCCCCATGTGGTCAAAGATCCTGCCCCCATGTGGACACAAGATGGCCACCGCATGATGGCCAGCAGAGGAGTGCAGTTGGGAGGGACCAGGTCAGCAGGGAGAGCTGTTGGGAGGAACTAGGCCTGCAAGGGAGGGCAGCTGGGGGTGATCAAACCTGCAGGGGAGGGCAGTTAGGGGTGACCAGGCTGGTAGAGGAAGGAAGTTGGGGGTGACTGGGCCTGCAGGGAAGGGCAGTTGGGGGAGAGGGGACCCAGGCCTGCAGGGGATAGCAGTTGGGGGGGACCAGGCCTGCAGGGGAAGGGAGTTAGGGGTGACCAGGTCTACAGGGGAGGCAGTTAGGAACAATCAGGCTGGCAGGGGAGCAGTTAGGCATCAATCAGCTTGGCAGGGGAGTGGTTAGGGAGTGATCAGGCTGGCTGGCAGAAGCACTTAGGGGCAATCAGGAAGACAGGTAGGCGAGCAGTTGGGAGCCAGCAGTCCTGGATTGTGAGAGGGATATCCGACTGCCCATTTAGGCCTTATCTCACCAGGATGGGGCCTAAATGGGCAGTCGGACATCCCTCGAGGGGTCCCAGATTGGAGAGGGCATAGGCTGGGCTGAGGGACATCCTCCCCCATGCACGAATTTTGTGCGCTGGGCCTCTAGTATTTTATAACCACTATCAATCTTTATCATGTAACACAGTTCCAAACTAATTAAAGGATTATTTTTTTAATGAAAGAAGTGATGATTTAATTTGTGATCTTGTGTTGAGGAAGATCTTTCCAAGCAAAAAAGGTGAGGAAAAGAGGAAATGGAAACCAGATCCAAATGATCCACCAACTTTATGTCAACTGTTGGCAAGGTGCAGGGGGGACAGACTGGGGTCATGTGTCTGCAGGGCAATCTGGCTAAATGCATTGGAAGGTTTTAAAATGGTCATACTTTGAAACAAAAAGTCATTGTCCAGAAATTTTTTCTAAGGAAATAATGAGAGATATAAAACATGCATTTATAGTATCAAAAGACTGGACAAGAACACAAACATTCAACAACAGGCAATTAGTAAAGTATATGCAAAATATTTACAGAATAGAATACTATCTGGTCTTTAAAATAATGTACCAAAGAATGATAATGACAATATGCTCAGAAAACGTTACATTTTTAAAAGTTAACAATGTATACAGGGTGATTCTTCAAAAAAATGTTTAACTTTTTAACACATAACATATATCAAGAAAATACCAAAATATTGGCTATATTATTACTTGGTGGGGAAATTTGGGGTGTCTTTAATTTTCTGTTACTAGCATCCCAAGCATGCTGACAGACATGGATAATTCTCACTAATTTTTTGTTGTTGTTTTTGTTTTTATTGATTTTTAGAGAGAGGAAAGGAGTGGGATAGAGACATGGAAACACTGAGGAGGAGAGAGAATCATTGATCAGCTGCCTCCTGCACATCGCTAACTGGGGATTGAGCCTGCAACACAGGCATGTGCCCTGACTGGGAACTGAACCAGTGACCTCTTGGTTCATGGGTTAATGCTCAACCACTGAACCACACTGGCCAGACACTCTCACTCATTCTACAAGATTCAGCTCACTGTCACTTCTTTCAAAAAGTCCTCTTGCACTGCCCTCCTTTACCCTACATATTCTAGGCACTCCTCCTTGGCACCAGATTCTGGGCTGTCCCTCACCCCTGTATCACACTGGCTGATTGGATTCACTATGTCCCCACCACGTTTGGATCTGCCTATAGTCAGAAACTGAGGGTATTTCATTTTTGTATCTCCAATCTGTCTGGAATCTAACAGAATGAACATGACTAAGCAAAAGATTCTCTGTGCTCTCTGAATTTAAAGACCAAGGAGGAAGTGTTAACAAGGAGGAGCAAATACTGATAAGGAGGTGTCTCCTTACCTTGGCTAGTAGACTTGAAACATGTTTAAGGTCACCATGTGCCTTTAGTAATTCTTGTTTGAGCTCGGTGCAAGACAGTTGCAGCTGATCTTTCTCAGCTCGAGCTGCTTTCAGCATTTCTTGAATTTCACAGCCCTCTGCCGTCTGCCCCACAGAACTGGCCTCTATAGCATTTTGCTTCTCCTTCTCCAAGTGAGCCTTCAGAGACCCGTTTTCCAGCTTCAGCCCTTCCAGGGTCACTGTGCACTCTTCCAGAGTCTGGGCCATCACGCTGCCGTTCTGCCGTTCCCGTTCCAGAAACCCATTCAGTCTTTCGTTTTCTTCCTTCAGGTGTTTGATCATCTCTAACGCCCCTTGATTTTCCTCCTCAGCCTTCCTCAAGCTGCAGGTCAGCTGCTGCTGAATGTTGAGAAGTTTCTCCCTTTCGAAGCGGCCCTGCTCCAGGATCTCTGTGCACTTCTGCTCTAGCTCCAGGACTTTTCCTTCCTGAGTGCTGGGCTCCTCCTTCTTGACTCGCTCTTGCAAGAGATTTATCAGCTTCTCGTTCTCATGACTTAGCTGCTCTGCCCTCTCTCGATGCTGATGAAAGGAAGTTTCCAAAATTGTCTTCTCGTCCACCAGTTTCTCATTTTCCGCTGTCAATTCCTGCACCATTTGTTGCTGGTCTGACAATTCCTGTAGGGTAGCCTGCAGTTCTTCTGCTGTGCTGTGCTGCCTTTCCTCCATCTTCTGTATCTTCTCCGTGAGGGAGGCCAGGGACAGTTCGCTCGCGTTGTCAGGGGAACTCCCGGCGGCAGAGCACCTGGGGCTCTGAAAGGCGCTGCCCGTGGAAGACCGCGGCCGAGGGGGGGTGTCTGCTGTGATGTGCTCAAAGTCGGAGGCATCCGGCGACAAAGAAGCTTTGGTGACATCGCTACTTGAAGAGCCCGACGTCCGTAACACACTTTGGGGGGCGTGTTTTTTGCACTCATCTACCTCAGCTGACAGCGGGTTCCCAGGAGGGCTCCCCAAGCTTGACTCCTGGGTGATGGATGTTGGACAGCTGCTGTCACCGGTGTGGCTGGAAGCCCCTTCTGAGTTGGGTGAATGCTCAAAATAGCTCAGTTTCTCCTTCAAGGCCCGGTTTTCCTCCTCTAGATTGGCAAGCTCTTTCTGAAAATTCTTGTTCTTCTCCTCAAGAGCTTGTATCAAAGGCTCAGAGTCACCTGGTGAGACTGATGCTCCGTCCACCTTTGGGTCCAGAGCGTCGCTCCCTCCCGTGTTCGGAGTCCTTTTCTCCCTGCATTTCCTCAGTTCACTCCGAAGCCTGTTAATTTCACTGTCTTTGGCTTTGGCCTCGGCCAAAAGCTCCCGAACGTGGGCCTCGAGCACAGCCTTTTCTCCACCTTCATTCTCCGGCTTGGGCCTTGCGGATGTGGCCCTCTGGTGCTTGGTAGGGGTGAGTGCACTGGAAGAAGTTGGACTGGACACTGATTTCTTTGGGTTGGAGGGACCACGTGGCACAGTTCTCTCCCTTGAGATAGTTGCAGAAAGTTCTCGAGGAGCTGGAATGCCTGTGCGTTTGGTTGTTGTCACAGACCCTAGAGACAAAAATAGAAATCAATGAAGCGAAGCAAGCCCTTTAAAAAAGAAGCCCAAGCGGAAGCTGTCGCCCTTCATCCATTTCCTCCTCCTCTAGATAACCACCCAGTTCTGACTGGGGTTTCTGTACCGCCTCCCAGAGCCCCCTACCTGAGCGGAAGCTGACTCCCAGCCTGGGTGACTCAAAACAATCCCATCCCCAGCCATAGTTGGTGGTTCAAGGCATGGGCACACCCCGCAACTAAGGAAAGGTTTTCTGGGTGAACTTCTGAAAGATGGCTGGATGTGCGGGAGACATCTGCTAAGCCTGGGACTGGCTGAAACCATCCTGTCATCATGAGAGGAGGGTGAGAAAAGACAACAGAACTCGTGGCCGCATTGTGGGTGTGGTAACTCAATCAACCCTCAGGCGTGGCCGATGGCTGGCTTTCTGATTACACAACCAACAAATACCTTCATGGAAGTCACCTTGCATGGGGCTTTCTGTAACATGCAACTTATTATAATACATCTGAACTGATAACCTGGGCAAATGAGTAACAGTCTTTTGACAAAATAAACTTTCATATGAATTTTTCAATAAATACTTAAAAATTAATCACTAATATACTTATACTGAGCAAACTAAGAAATCAAAAGACATAAATAATCCAATGGAAGACTGATCTGATCCGGTGACCTATTGCTTTTAATGTAAATGGTGTGCTCATTTGTAACAATGGATAACAAGAACACATGGCATAGCGGCATATTATATATCTCTAAGATATAGCTTAAATGTTAAAGGGATTTATATAATATGGAAATTATATGGAATTTAGAACTTATAATGGTAAATGTAAGGAATTATCTTTCATTTTCATTTATACTTCTACACTATAATCATTTTAAAATTTTCATCCATACTACATTTAAGCTTTCATTTATGCTATTATTAAAGACAATGTTGAAAAAAAAAACTGTACGGGTGAAACCCCAGACATCACTCTCATATGATCTGGAAATGAAACCCACCTTAAAGGTTAAAATGTAAATGAACCCGTTTTACAAACTCAAAGACCATCTGATGCTAAGGCTGCTTGCTGTGACTTATGCAGGCGTGCTCCTAGGGCTGGCGGTCACCAGCCTCTCGGCCTCTACAGTGGAGCAAAGACTGGGACAAGGGGATGCTGCTCAGCTCAGCAGAGCCCAGCACAGCAGCTCTAACCACCACCTGCACTTACTCAGGCGGAGCTACTGCAAATCGAACGTCCTGAACTCTGTGGTGATGACAGCATTGTTGCTAACTCTCTGACATCTGAGTGCTTTTAAAACATTGACATAATAAAGGCTAAATTGCAATAATAATATACAGGAAAACTATGGTTTTTATAGTAACTTTTCAAATTAAGTGACTGGAAAGCTAAGAGCACTCTACAACACACATCTAATGCTTTCAGGTGTCCAGATGCCTTACCGCCAACCTGCCAGACAGAATCAAAAGAGATTTATTTAATTATTCTTTTTTAATCCTCACCGAGGATGTTTATTGATTTGAGGGAGAGAGGGAGGGAGAAAAGAAAAAGGGAAGGAGGAAGAGAGGGAGGGAGGCAGGCATGCAGGGAGAGTGCAATGTGAGAGAGAAACATGGATTGGTTGCCTCCAGTACAGGTGCTGACCAGGGATAGAACCCTTAACCTTGTATTGTATGAAATGATGTTCCAAGCCATCGAGCCACTCAGTCAAGGGCTAATGTTCTTGTTACATAAAGATTAAAATCACTAAGCAATAACATGTTTTAGAATCAACAGTCCCCTAAAGTGAAGTAATCTTGGCCAGGACCATAATGAAAACTGAAAGATAATTAAAGTTTCACCACAACTATAATCAGACTAGGCAAAACTGAGAGTACAGGACTGATGATCACAGAGGTATTTGCCATGGCTAATAATGCTATGAAAATTAAGGCTCCTTTTCAATTATTGGATTTGACGATGGGAAGAAAATAAGAGATATGAACTCTGTCATCATTTCCAGCGACAGTTTAACTCCTTCCTTTAGCTGCCAAATCTTAAGTTTGTTTTCCACTTAGGTGTTACTTAACTTTTTTAAAATTACTAGGAATAATTTTTTTTATAACAAACCAAAGCACATTTATGAAACATATCCAGTTGTGGATTATAAACCACATACCTAGCCAGGGACTGCGCCTGTGGCCTGGAAGAGGGGCAATCCACATGCCCTGCAGTCCCGGGCACGAGTGGTTGGGGCTGCAGCCCAGGAGAGGGACAAGCTCCTGCCCCGCGGTTCCGGATGCCAGTGCCTGCGCCTGCAGCCTGGGAGAGGGACAAACCGTCCTCCCCACGGTCCCAGGCACCAGCACCCATGCCTGCAGCCCGGGAGAAGGACAGGCCGCCTGCCCATCGTCCTGGGTGCCTGTGGCTGCCACCCAAGCAAAGCCACCCACCCACGGTCCCCTGCAGCTGTAGCTGACCTGGGCAAAGCCAGCTGGGTCCTGGGTGCCTGCAGCCAGCCAAAGGAGGGAATCCTGGGTCCTGGGAGCAGGGCTAGGCAGAGGCTATTAGGGGCAATCAGGCCGGCAGGGGAACAGTAAGGGCCGATCCAATCAGGCTGGTAGGGAGCAGTTAGGGGCGATCAGGCAGGCAGGTAGAGGGGCTAGGAGCAATCAGGCAGGTGAGCCATTAGGAGCCAGGGGTCCTGGACTGGAAAGGGTGCAGGCCGGGCTGAGGGGATCCCCTCCCATGCACGAATTTTGTGCACTGGGCCTCTAGTAATTTCAGAAACTGTAATTAGCAGAAGTAAAGTTTAGAAGTTGTTAAAATTCATCATCATACCAAACTAAGGTTGGTGTTTGGCTGCTCACTCCCCCATTTTGGGCCTAATTCTGCCCCTAGACACACCTCGTCATGGGCACTGGTGGGTAAGAGTAATCAGTCAGCAGGGTTCTGCCCTCAGTCTCCTTCAAGTACTGTGGGTTCAGCAGCCTCACTGCTGAGCAACACATCTGGAGCCTTGAAACTGGGCATGCAATACTCCATGGCAAAAGTGACGGCAGAGTGGTGGACACGCGGGGCCAAAGGAGCCAAACGTCTGTCTCTTTCCCATCCTCATCCCAGACCAGCATTTATTCCCACTCAGGTTGGTTGTCTGACTGCAAGATGTGAAAATAAAAGCGAGCTCCACCCAACAAGATAACTTATTGTTAAGAAATGTTTGATAAGTTACACTTTTAAAGGCCAAATTAAAATTTATATTATAGTGCAATAGACACACCTAGGAAGGAACATACAATACTGAGAACAGGTGAGTATTAAGTAGGTTGGACTTTGCATTATTTTCCTGGTTCTTTATTTTACAGTTACATTTATGCAATGAATTTAAAAAACAAAACAAAACAGGAGGGAAAAATCCTACCATAATAATATACAGAGAGATAAAGGTATAGTAAAAAGAAATCTTTTCAGAGAACATAACAACAGCATGATCATCTATCTGTAATAATAACAGGGTAATATGCTGATTAGACTGGATGTCTTCCAGACATCATTCCAGACATCCTTCCTGATGAAGCCAGGGCCAGAGGGACGCTAGCCTGGGTCCCCAGGGTCTGCGGGTGGCTGGAGGAGGGAAGCAGCCTGGGTGCCAGAGGGAAGCTGGTGCCGGCAGCTGGGGGAATGAAGGCAGGCCCCGGGACCCTAACCGTGCATACATTTCATGTGTTGGGCCTCTAGTTTAAACCATAAAACAGGTGACACTTTTAAATAGTGATTTTTATGAACTGAAATAAAATATTTTCAGGCCCTTTTTAATGTCCTCATCTTACCCAAAGAATAAGCTACTGAGGTTTTTCTTTGGTAGGTCTTCTGTCTAATATGCACTGATGAAGGGTGGCTTTCTGAAATAAATTATCAATCCTTCATTTATTCAACAAGAATTCACAGAGTGTTTGCTCGGTGGGATACACAAATGAAGTTCACCATCTTCACATACCACACGACTGCTGCCTTGTCTCCTAGACACAAGAGAACTTGCTCATTCTGAGTCTAAACTATTGGGATATTTCTTCATTATCACTCCACATAATTTTTTTTTCTCAAAAAGTTCCAATAATTTCTGTATGGTCAAACCTAATTTCCTCCCTTAGTCACCAGCCTTCTCAACTTTTTCAGTGGCAGTTAACTTTCAGTATCCGTCCCTTCTTCCCTTCATTCTTTTTATTCATGTCTGACAGTGGCACTAATGAATTTTTTAGGTTCCCCCATTCAAGGAACCTTAAAAACATATTTACACCTTCCTTTCATTTACTAAAATCTACGAACTGTTTTTTAGAAATGATTCCGTATTTTTCCTTTTCTTTCACTATAAATCTAGTCCAGATCCACTGTCTAAATTTCTAAAACATTCTCCCACCTTATCAAATCCCTTAAAAAATTTACTCATTTTTCTGTTTAAGAACCTGTATATATTTCTTCTCATCTGCTGTACAATGTTAAACTTATTTCCTTGGCTTTCAAAGTCACATGTAATCTCTAATCCACATATCCAACCTTTTTCAACTTTTATGGTTTTTTCATTCTCTAGCACACCCATTTACCTCTAGCCAGTGTCCTCACTGTCCCCAGTATACTTAAGATTTCTTGAAATATCATTCCCTTTCCACTGTATCTTTCTGACTGGCATTTAAACTAGCTTAATTCCCTCCAATTAAACACACACACACACACCCTAGAATCCACATCTTCCTAACTAATACCTGAGTTCTCTCTTCCCCCTCATAGAAGAATCCTCCAAAGACTATGTTCACTGGTTGTCCTCCTATCTTCTGCTCTCACTCACTCCCTGTCCACTCCCATTGCACTGCCTGCTGAGGGCATCAGTGATCCCCATGCAGTCCAATACAATGGATATTTTTCATCCTCTCAGCAATTAGAACAATTTCTTTTTAAAAAATATATATTTTATTGATTTTTTACAGAGAGGAAGGGAGAGAGATAGAGAG